GCGCAGGTGTGTAGCACAACGCAGAAAGGAACGTCATCATTCGCGCCTAATACAACGCAGAAAAGACACTCCTGCCCATAATCACGACCAGATTCGTGCTTTGTACCAAAATGCAAAACCGAACCTGTGAAACAGAGCGCAGAACGGACAAAGCACTGCCATGTGTGTATCACAACGCAAAAAAGAAGAAGGGGGAAACAAAAAGAACAGAAAAAAAAGGCACTAGAAAAATTGCAGTCAACTCTTGAGCGGAAGCTCGTCAGCGCGCGAGCTTAGCTGTCGTTGGAGTCTTTCCCTCCCCGCGCGGCCCGCCCATGGTTGTACACAGCTGCGATCCCTCTCCTTCAGATCTTCGTCCTGATCATCAGGATACCCCTCGATATCCTCTTTCACCGGCTCGCTTTCCCTTCCTCCTCCGCCTCCTCATCCTCTTCCCCCTCCTCCTCATGAAAGGTTCAATCCTTAGCTTCCTCGTCTTCATTCCTCTTCTCTTCCTCATCATCGTCGGGGTCCGTCGTCATTCTCGATATCCTACTCCTCCTGGTCCAACCACTGCTACTAACTACTACTACTCTCGCTATCCTCCTACTCCTTGTCCTCCCCCTCCTCCTCGTGCTACTACTACAACTGCCACTACTACTACTACTACTGCTGCTGCTCCTGCTGCTGCCGCTGCTGCTCTTGCTCTTACTCCACATCCCCTTCCTACTAGTACTGCTGCTGCTGCTACTATACTACTATAGCTGCTGCTGCTGCTGCTGCTACTACTACTACTACTACCACTACTACTACTACTGCTGCTACTACTGCTACTGTTGCTGCTCCATATCCTCTTCCTACTAGTACTCCTACTCCTCGTCCTCCCCCTCCTCTTCCTCCCCCTCCTCTTCCTCGCACTCCTCTTCCTGGTACTACTGCTGCTGTTGCTGCTTCTTCTTGATATCCTCCCCTCCTCCTACTCGACTACTACTACTGCTGCTACTACTACTACTACTACTACTACTACTACTACTACTACTACTACTACTACTACTGCTCCTCTTCCTCGCACTCCTCCTCCTGGTACTACTACTACTACCAGTACTACTACTGCTGATGCTGCTGCTGCTGCTGCTGCTTGATATCCTCCCCTCCTACTCGACTACTGCTACTACTACTACTACTACTACTACTACTACTACATACTGCATACTACTACATACCACTACATACTACTACTACTACTACTACTACTACTACTACAAAGGTCGACCAACAGTCAGTCTGTCAGCCCGCGGCTCGTCTTCAGCTTCCTACTCGTCTTCCCCTTTCCCCTCCTACTCCTTACCGTCGTCGTGATTGTTGATATCCTTCTCCTCTCGTGATTCTCGGTAACCTTCTCCTACTCCTCTTCCTCCTCTTCCTCCTCTTCCTCGAATTCCTCCTCCTCCTCCTCCTCCTCCTCCTCCCCCTGCTCTGTCTCCCGTCCTCCCGCTTTCTCTTTCTTCATCCCGTCCTCCCGCTTTCTCTTTCTTCATCCCGTCCTCCCGCTTTCTCTTTCTTCATCCCGTCCTCCCTTTTCGCTATCCGTTTGTGCGTGCCGCCAATCGTGCGAGCCCAAACTCGCACTTCGCCTTCTCGCGGCGGCCACTATTTTGATTTTTCCCAATAACAATTATAATTTTATAATAAATATTAAATACTCATTAAATAATTAGATGCAGTACTATCTGTCTACTATACCATCACGAACGACAGCGCTTTCCTTTGTGAAGTTTTGTGTCCTTCCTTTTTTTTCTTTTTTTTTTTAATGCGTCCGTCGTTTCTACCAACACATAACTAATCATTATGCAGGTGTGCGCCCGACGCACGCTGTAACGAGTTTCAGCTCAACTTGTAAATTTTGTTTAACTTGTTTTTTTCTTTTTCCTGAGTAAGTCCTGCTATGCTAATGATGACACATTGCTTTTTTTCCTTTGGAAGCAACTTCTCCATTGCTTCCTTCCCTTTTTTTTTTTTCCTTGTTTTTCTTTTTTTTCTCTTTCTCTTTTTTTTTGGTTCCTTTTTTTTTCCCCCTTCTTTCTTCTTTTTCTTCTTTTTTCCCTTGTTTAAAGTTGTTTTCCCTTTTTCCCTTCTTTTTCTTTTTTCTTGTTTTCTTGTTTTCTTTTTTTTTCCCCCCCTTTTTTCCCTAGGCTACCACAGTGGCCCGGGACCACTTGCCTGGCCGGGCGAAACATATATATAAATATATTTGTGACGATATATTTATATATATTTAAAAATTATATTTTAAATTTGGTAAAGAATTTCGATGTGACCCTGAGGCAAAAGTTGTTCCGTTTATTTTACTACATAACATAGTTTTTTCAGAGTTGTCGGATATTTTTTTTATTATTATTTTGGCTGGGACCTTCTTTGGCCCCTTGCACGACCGGGCCGCCCGGGTAAACAAAGTGACTCGGGCGGCCCGGCTGGTAGCCTTTTGTTTTCCCTTTTTGTCTTTTTTTTTCTTTTTCTTTTTCTTTTTCTTTTTTTTCTTTTTCTTTCTCTTTTTTTTTCCTTTATTGTCACTTTTCAGGTACTCCTGCTGCTCGTCGCATGTATTCCCCCGAACACAACACCTCCCCCCCCCCTCCTCATCATGACTGAATCGGACCGTAGAGAGAGCTTAATATCTTACTACTGCCTGACTTCCGAACGTACGTAATTCCCGCGAATACAACACCCCCTCGCTCATCCTGAAGGGAATCGGACCCGGTAAAAAGTGAAAAAACACTTCAATACATTATTATTATTATTATTATTATTATTATTATTATTATTATTATTATTATATACTGTAGCCTTCCATTCAGTTCCGTGCGCCCTGATTTCCTCGACCCGTCTTTTTCGTATTTTCTCCCCTTACAATTTTCTTTTTCACTTTTTTTTCCCACTGCTTTTCCACCTTTTTTTTCCACTTTTTTCCCCCATTTTTTTTGTTTTCCACTTCTCTTTTCCATTCTTTGTTTCCCACTTTTTAGTTTTCCACTTTTTTTTTTGCCTTCTTTTTCTTCATCGTCCTTTTATTACTTCAAAATTCACACATGCTTTTTTTTTTCCTTCATTCTTTTTTTTGGGCGGGAGGTCATAGAGACAAATACGCTTCGCGATCTTCAACCCTTTTTTTCCAAGATTTCCTTTGATTTAAATTTTAAAAACGCCATAGCGAGTTACGATTTCTAAGAATTCCAGAATTGCCATCGATCGGAACTTAATTCCGAAAATGCCAAAGCAACCGTACCAACGAGCTCAGGGCTGGACAACAGCTAAAGAGGGGGCGAGCGAGGTCCCACTACGGCAGCAAAAAAAGCGTTGGATTAAGCCGATGAATCTGGACGTAATTTATGTAGAGATGCAGAAAAACAGATCAAAAATCGCACCTCACCACAACCACGTCCAGATTCAGCTGTTAATCCAATCCTCGTTTTGCTATAGTAGTGGGACTGCGTCCTCGGTCCTCGATCTCTCGTCAGCCATGTCCTTCCCCTTCATTCATCACTGAGAGACAACTCTCCTCCTCCTCCTCGTCATCATCATCATCATCATCATCATCATTATAATCTTCTTTTTCTTTTTTTTGTCTTTAATCATCATCATCATTATAATCCCTTTTTTCTCTTTTTTGTCTTTAATCATCATCATTATTATCATCATTATAATCTTTTTTTTCTCTTTTTTGTCTTTAATCATCATCATCATCATCATCATCATCATCTTCATCATCATCGTCATGATCGGCATCTTCATAGACATGAATTAGCTGATGGCTTTTTTTTTTTTTTTAATTAAACCACCAGTACATCTGGAGAAATCGATTGAACCTTCTTCCCCCGAGTACAACGTACGGTCATTATAGATGTATGTATTTGGGATATCTTTCAGTCTACATACAGCTATAATGACCATACGTCATATTCGGCGGAAGAGGGGAGAGCCTCTCCGAAAAGTCAGGGGACTCGGGGCAGGGGACAGGGTCCGCCTGGAGACGGGCGGAAATTTTATTTTTTTTGTTCACGGCTACCCATCTTCCCCCGAACACAACGCACCCTCATTTTGACTGCATCGGGCCGGAAACGTACCTTGTATACGTTCATTTTCAGGGTGCGTTATGTTCGGGGGAAGACTGTAGTAGCCTGGTGCCACCTCACGGCATGGGACAATTTTTTCGACTACTGGCCCTTCGGACGTCCTATCCCGACCCTCCATTTTTTCTTTTTCTTGCTTTTTTTTCCTTTTTTTTTTTTAAAGCCTCCATTTTTTTTGGAGAGGCTCCATCGCTATTCTCAACTTGGCTGGGGCCATGTACTGATGGTCTAACCACACCCCTATCCCCTCTACCTCCCCCATCTTAATAATTAATCTATCATCATCATCATCATCATCATCATCACAACGAATGCTTTCGCTTACCAAGTTCAATGGGTTTTTTTTTTTTGTTTTTTTTTTTGTCTCCAGGATGGCTTATCTGCTTCAAGCCCACGACATCATTCCCATCCCCATCGCGTTGGCCATCGCCATCGCCATCGCCGATCCTGGTCATCTCGGGCATCGCCATCGTCATCCTGATAATCACCAGCAACTTCTTCTTTTTTTTTTCTTTTCTTCTTTTTTTTTTCCTTTTTTTTTCTTTTTTTTAAATCATCAGCAACTTCACCGTCATCATCATTCATCAGCTTCGCAATCGCTACCTCATGTTTTCCCCTGTTATGCTCTCTCGTCCACAGATGTCTTTTTTTCCTCTGTTGGATTTGATGACGTGTCAATCATGTACCAACCGGACTACCGTCTTCACCCGAATAGAACGCCCGGTCATCATAGCCGCATTTGGTGCAACTTTCAGTCTGCATACAGCGATCATGACTGGGCGTTCTATTCGGGTGAAGACGGTAGCTCAGTTGGTACACCCACCACGAACTGTTGAAATGCGGAGCCAAGTTCGGATCCCGATGCGATCAGATGCACAGAATAAAATACTGTAGTTTCTGAATTACCTCGGGCCGGTCAGTTCAGGTATCATATCTCAAGGCCGTCAATCATCTATAGCAGCAGCAGCATTACTATCATCTTCTTCGTCGTCTTCCCAAAAAAAAAAAAAAAAAAAAAAAAAAAAATTCGCCAATTAATTGGATTTGACGACGTGTCACTCACTACCGGTCTTCCCCGGAACATAAGGCACCCTGATCGTGAATGTACACATGCTATCTTTCCGGTTCCATACAGTCATCATGATGATGAGGGCGGGTTGGGTGCATTGTGTTCCAGGCAAGAAGAAGGTAGAAGCTCGCTCCATTCCTTCCTTCGTCCCTCCTCTTTCTCCTCATCAAAGCTTGTCCAGTTCGGTACAATCATAAACGTATACAAGCTGTCTTTCCGGCTAGATACATCCATTTCTAGCATCATCGGCACCGCCATCACTTTTCCCATCATCACCACGCAGTCTCATCAGCTGATCATCCATGGCATCAGAAATCTCACCGAACATTCACCAACCTCAGACAGACATCGCGGTGTGAGTCTCACTTCTCGTCGTCTAACGGATCCGCGCAAGGCTTCGTAAAAGCACCAATGAATGAATGAAGAACAAGTTTCCGGTCCGATACGGCCGTTCGTAAAAGCACCAATGAATGCATGAAGAACAAGTTTCCGGTCCGATACGGCCGTATTGACTAATCACCCAGAAGGGAAAGGACAGAAGGGAGGGCGGTGTCCGTCCCGTTCCGTTCTGTTCCGTTCCGTTCCGTCAGCGCTCCGCATCGGGATCTGCTGCTGTCAGTCCGTCGCGCAACGACCGGTCGGTAACCTCCTCCGCGCCCTCTTTGCTCTGCACTGCATCAGTCGGTCGGTACACGGTCGGCGGCGGCGAGCGCTGCTGGGATCGGGATCGCAACACTCCCATCTTGCCGAACGCCCACTGCGTACCGCGGTGGGTGGGCGCTCGCGAGAGCGCCTGGAAAGGCGGTCGCAACAGCGAGTGCTGATGGGATCGCAACCCTCCCATCTTGCTGAGCACTACTGCCTGCGCGTTGTGCTGAGATTCCATTTCCACTCGTCGGGCCGCCGGACACTCGGTAGGAGTACTGCAGGTACCACTTCCCTAAAAGCATCTAGCCGCAATTACGGCCTCGCGTTGGATGTATCTGACCGCAATCACGTCCGTAAGTCAGCCGGAAAAGCTTTTCTAGTGCGAGGTGACCGTCGGAAACTTCCGCCGACCAGCGCGACTACCGTACGATCCCAACCCCCCCGCGACCCCCTTGTCGCTACAGTAATAGGCTGTTTTTCCGCTTGTCGGACCTTTTTCCTTCTTTCTTTTCTTTTGTTTCCTTGTTGGATTTTTCCGACAGTGCAAACGCCACACCACTCTCGAAATGTGAAAAAGACAAAAATGTGGAGGGTGCACCTGGCCGTCTTCTACCGAGAAGTTCATTCTCATTTTGCTCATTTCGACCCTCGTGTGGCGATGCCCACAGTCGCACACTCCCTACTGCTGTGTCGAACAAGCCCCGCGAAGCGACAGCCAGGAGAGCGCAACAATACAGCAGAGCGGGAATGTGCGACAACTC